GTAGGGTATCCAATCGACGCTCTTGACCCTATTTTGTGCATTGATATTGCATAGAAGAGACTATTCAATCAGTAAGAAACAATAGTGGCCATTTCTCTTCTATTTTTTTTGAATAATGAATATATATTTAACATTTTTTAGAAATTTTAATAATATTTACAAAATATACTAATATCTTTTTTTTATAATTATTTTGAATAACATTTTAAAAATTATACATGCATATAGCATATATATAGATAAAGGCATCTAAAATGAATTCAATAAAGCTGAAGAAAACTGATGTAAAAATGTTCCACGATACTGATACAGTTCATTAAATTAATTAATAAAAATTAATAAAAGACTTACCGATTTGCGACATTGACGGCGATTTTCTGGGCAGTATCTCGAACAGAATAGATAAATTCCTCATCATCTGTAACAACACTGTACCATGGTTCCACATAATCTCTGATTAAAAAATCTAAGATTTCCTATAAAAGAGTAACAAGGAATGCATTAAGCTACTTCTCAATAATCAGAAGAGAAATCGAGTCAATATTGTTTTATAAATATTGAATATGTACTTGCAGGGATTCATCAATGATACGGCTACCAGTTATTCTTTTATCTAATGTGAATGTCATCCTCTCCCTAGACAGATCTAGTATATACTGAAAATATAAAATATATAAAATATTATTTACGACGATCGAATTATTTCAAAATCTCCAATTACCTGCCGAAACTTTTCAGTCTTCTTAGTTATGTCTTCCCTTTCAGACTTAATTACATTGTCGAGATTCGGTGAATACGTTCGATATATACAGATCAATGTCCTGCAACAAATATTCTTCTATTTCTTACGTTTGGTGTGTGTGTATTCTCATTCATTTAATATATTTATTTAACTCATTCTTAATCTCATTGTTGTATATTTCATAGATCTTCGTGTTTCTAAAAAAAGAAAGAAACTTGGAACTTTTCTTCGTCTTACCCTAAAATTAACGCCAGCAAGCATACGAGGAGTTTTGCGATCGTTTCTATGCCGAGGATGTAAGCAAGTAGAATCGCGGCAGCTCCGAGAACGCCATACAATGGAACGTTCATCTGCAAAGATAACAATCTATTGTCGGTCGATGGGTTGTTACAGCATAACTTCCTGGAGTTCGTACAATCGCGTATACCATGTGTATGTAGAATATGTAATTATCTCGAAAGACACCAAGTTGCGCGTAGATAATGCGGGACAAATGTACTGTTAAGACATGTGACGATGGCAGCTTATCATGTGCCTCCTCGTGCGCGTCTACCGAATAGTAGCTTATCGCTCGAAACAAGAGAATAGATGGAGAAATACAAATGAGAGGATACGATTTAACGATGAGTCAGTAAAAAACATAATCACAGAATAGAACTTTCTAAGAGACTTCGTAGGAATTTTATACGTCGAGAATAAAACAGAGAATGGAAGCCTTTTTTTATATTCTCTTTAGATGCAAATTAATATTTTATATATTCTATAACAATCAGAAATATATAATATATTTATATAGAATAGCATATGTACTGAAATAGAATATGCACAATATAACTTTATTTTTGACAATTAATTTTATATATGTATATAAGGAGAAGATTAGAGAAATTTGAAAAAAATGATATAGAGATCTGGATTAATTAAATAAATTATCTGTAGTAAAAGAATTAAATATATATAATAAAAAAAGCACACACAAAGTATATGTGTAACAAAAATTACAGATTAGTTATGATCTATCTATAATCTATATCTATATAAAAACGCGCGCGCGACAATCACAAGCTCAATTTAGTTTTGGCATACATACTCTATCAATTCTATAACAAAGTGACAGATTAATTAATTTATGATATATGATTTATTTATGACATGTAGTGTTCGGATATCACCAACTTTTATTATTTATAGATTATTTAGAAAGTTGATTCTTTGGGGGGGAAACATTCTTAGAAAATTGAAAAATGTTATGATAAATTTGATCTTTTTAAATTTTTATAATTTTTTCGTGGATATGAATATTTTAGTCATATTAGTTTGCTTAATGATTATCATCAGTTTATTACATTCACTCATATATAGTTCTTACAGTTTTATTAATATTTATATGATATAATTTGTCTTATTAAATAGAATAATAAATTTTGTAATGAACACGATGAACAAAGAAAATATTGAATTTAATTTTTCCATACGTAAACAAACTGGGAAATATATAACAGTTTGTAATAAGGCTTATCAGAATAAGTAAATTGAAATATAATAATGAGAAAATAATTTACATTAAAGTTTGTTCAAGATATTTCTGTCCAGATATAACACTTCAGACATAAGAGTCAAGAGATATAACTCTCAAGAGATATAAATCTTCAAGATATAACTGTCAGTAATAAACTTAAACATATAAAAATGCAAAGCACGTGTTTTGTGATAAGGGCAAAAGATCACGGAATGTATGATATGTATATACCTTTTTGTTGTCATGCACTTTTTTGTTAAGAACAAAAACGCTTTCTCCAGTCCCATTTGTTTCACTTTGATTCACAAAAGCCTCTCTATTTTCGATAAAAATCGATCGTACTTTATTCGCTATTCTTATAGCAGGTGGCGATTATTGTCTTAAACTCCGAACCTAGATATTTATATATATCGTACGTTCCTCTCCTCTCCGTGTCCATGTCATCGCGCGCACAAACAACACAAAACAACTGTCACACTACTAACGTATGGTAGGCGCGTGAACGCGCGCCTATTACACATCGCGGCTATAAAATCGCTAATCTGTCGAATCACGAGACTCGTGACTGTCATCCCGGACGATGAATGGACAAACGCGCGAAACTCAGAGACACGGATTGCCGTCGAAGAAGATGACGAACGTCCGTCGCGAGGACTCTTTTTGCATCTCTCTTTTTTTACGCCTACCTTTGGTAGTTGCTCGACAGGCCGATTGTCGTCGCGCATTCGGCAACACGCATATTGTAAGTCTCGCACAGGCTCACGATCGGCCAGCTGGTCAGCTAAGCGGCGCTTTATTTACATCCTCGCAGATGGTGCGGCTCGATACGCTGCTGAATGGTACGTCGGTCGACATCATGTCTTCCAATCCTCTCTCGCGCGAGTTTGCGTGCTCGCGCGATGCTGTCGTTCGCAAAGCGCTCCCTGTCGACGAATGCAACGAAGCATTTTCGTAGTTTACCTCACTATTAATAGTGCTGATCAGAAAGCTTCCGTTCATATCGACAAGAGGATATATTAATTTCTGTAAATGATAACATTAAAAATATGCTTTTTGGTTATTTTCCTCTTAATTGATATAATCGAGCAAATTTTTATTATTAAATTACTACTTTATTTATTTATTTATGATGGGAAACTTCTCTTGATATTAAATTATTTTCTTTTATAGCATACAAGATTTATTGCGCCACTTGCGCAAAAATTTCGTGTGTATTTTTTTATTACTCGATTGATAATAGAATTCAGTCTTTTTTAAGAGGATGCCGGATACCGACAGAATGCGAATATTAGTAGGATTGCAATAGATAATGCGGGACAAATGTACTGTTAAGACATGTGACGATGGCAGCTTATCATGTGCCTCCTCGTGCGCGTCTACCGAATAGTAGCTTATCGCTCGAAACAAGAGAATAGATGGAGAAATACAAATGAGAGGATACGATTTAACGATGAGTCAGTAAAAAACATAATCACAGAATAGAACTTTCTAAGAGACTTCGTAGGAATTTTATACGTCGAGAATAAAACAGAGAATGGAAGCCTTTTTTTATATTCTCTTTAGATGCAAATTAATATTTTATATATTCTATAACAATCAGAAATATATAATATATTTATATAGAATAGCATATGTACTGAAATAGAATATGCACAATATAACTTTATTTTTGACAATTAATTTTATATATGTATATAAGGAGAAGATTAGAGAAATTTGAAAAAAATGATATAGAGATCTGGATTAATTAAATAAATTATCTGTAGTAAAAGAATTAAATATATATAATAAAAAAAGCACACACAAAGTATATGTGTAACAAAAATTACAGATTAGTTATGATCTATCTATAATCTATATGTATATAAAAACGCGCGCGCGACAATCACAAGCTCAATTTAGTTTTGGCATACATACTCTATCAATTCTATAACAAAGTGACAGATTAATTAATTTATATATATGATTTATTTATGACATGTAGTGTTCGGATATCACCAACTTTTATTATTTATAGATTATTTAGAAAGTTGATTTTTTGGGGGGGAAACATTCTTAGAAAATTGAAAAATGTTATGATAAATTTGATCTTTTTAAATTTTTATAATTTTTTCGTGGATATGAATATTTTAGTCATATTAGTTTGCTTAATGATTATCATCAGTTTATTACATTCACTCATATATAGTTCTTACAGTTTTATTAATATTTATATGATATAATTTGTCTTATTAAATAGAATAATAAATTTTGTAATGAACACGATGAACAAAGAAAATATTGAATTTAATTTTTCCATACGTAAACAAACTGGGAAATATATAACAGTTTGTAATAAGGCTTATCAGAATAAGTAAATTGAAATATAATAATGAGAAAATAATTTACATTAAAGTTTGTTCAAGATATTTCTGTCCAGATATAACACTTCAGACATAAGAGTCAAGAGATATAACTCTCAAGAGATATAAATCTTCAAGATATAACTGTCAGTAATAAACTTAAACATATAAAAATGCAAAGCACGTGTTTTGTGATAAGGGCAAAAGATCACGGAATGTATGATATGTATATACCTTTTTGTTGTCATGCACTTTTTTGTTAAGAACAAAAACGCTTTCTCCAGTCCCATTTGTTTCACTTTGATTCACAAAAGCCTCTCTATTTTCGATAAAAATCGATCGTACTTTATTCGCTATTCTTATAGCAGGTGGCGATTATTGTCTTAAACTCCGAACCTAGATATTTATATATATCGTACGTTCCTCTCCTCTCCGTGTCCATGTCATCGCGCGCACAAACAACACAAAACAACTGTCACACTACTAACGTATGGTAGGCGCGTGAACGCGCGCCTATTACACATCGCGGCTATAAAATCGCTAATCTGTCGAATCACGAGACTCGTGACTGTCATCCCGGACGATGAATGGACAAACGCGCGAAACTCAGAGACACGGATTGCCGTCGAAGAAGATGACGAACGTCCGTCGCGAGGACTCTTTTTGCATCTCTCTTTTTTTACGCCTACCTTTGGTAGTTGCTCGACAGGCCGATTGTCGTCGCGCATTCGGCAACACGCATATTGTAAGTCTCGCACAGGCTCACGATCGGCCAGCTGGTCAGCTAAGCGGCGCTTTATTTACATCCTCGCAGATGGTGCGGCTCGATACGCTGCTGAATGGTACGTCGGTCGACATCATGTCTTCCAATCCTCTCTCGCGCGAGTTTGCGTGCTCGCGCGATGCTGTCGTTCGCAAAGCGCTCCCTGTCGACGAATGCAACGAAGCATTTTCGTAGTTTACCTCACTATTAATAGTGCTGATCAGAAAGCTTCCGTTCATATCGACAAGAGGATATATTAATTTCTGTAAATGATAACATTAAAAATATGCTTTTTGGTTATTTTCCTCTTAATTGATATAATCGAGCAAATTTTTATTATTAATACTTTACTTTATTTATTTATTTATGATGGGAAACTTCTCTTGATATTAAATTATTTTCTTTTATAGCATACAAGATTTATTGCGCGCGCAAAAATAAAAGATACAATTTTAATCGGATTATCAGAATTAAGAGGATGCCGGATAGAATACGAATATTAGTTAAAATGCAAAATATTTTTGTTGTTTATAGATATCAACAAATCCTTTTCCATAATTAAAGTATACATAATAACGGAGTGCGGGGTTTATGATTTCATATGAAAAGTGAAAAAAAATTTAAAAATTACAGTTTTGTTATCGGCTTCTGCCGTCAACATTTACTTAATATAAAAAACCTGCAACTTGCACGTGCCTAACAAGTGAACTCCGCACTCGGCATTTTATCAAAGAGTATTAGTGAACTTCGAGAAAGTGAGTTTAGAAGCTTTTTAAAAAAGATTTTACTATGCAACATTTTGCACACCGAAATGTTTCTTATTAGGCTTTCAAATACATTTTCAAACGTTTACTTATATTCCTTCATGCATTTCCGAGTGGAGAGGTATCCTATTTTGCACGTACACACCGCAAAACCCTTATATTAAGCAAATATATAATTATTATGGCCGGTAAAACAGGACGGTCCGGCATCCTCTTAATAGCTAAACAATTACTATAGATGGACAAACTATATAATTTCTAATGTTAGGTTAGTGAAATTAGCAAGATATATGAAGAATTATTTCTATATGCAAGAAACAGGGAGATAAAAAAATGCTTAGATAATGTATTAAAACTAATTGTAAGTATTATATGTGTATATAATTATAATTATATACTTTTATTACATATCATTTATTTTGTTACTTAATATATGCATTGATTTTATTTTTTATATTATTTTATTTAAATTCTCATATAATTAATTTGGCAACTACTACTATATAGCTTGATTGGAGAAATAAATTGCAAATTTACATTGATTATAAATTTAGGCATAACAACGTAATTTATCACAGTATTCGAGAGATCTCGCAGTTCAAATCACAAACTGTCTTTCGGGACAAATTTTATCTGAATTTCAGATCAAATCGCGGTATTAAAAAATTCCGTGAATGATAGAATATGATAGGATAGGATGATGGTTGCCATCGATTGCAAAAAACATCTCGCAAAATTTTTTTTCCTCTCATCGTTCCTTCTCAAATTCAGATGAAATTTGTCCTGATAGGCAGCTGTCGCTTGATAAGGGATTAATGCTTATCGCAATTAACACTACGTCTTTTTTAAAGTCTATTCAAATAAATCGGGTCAAATTAGAATCTATAATTTAAATATAAAGTGATATGTAAAAATTATTCAACAATTCTATGCAATTTCCGTACAATTACAAGTGCTCTTTTTTTTAAATCAATCATAATTTGTAAATATTACATCTATTTATATATGGGGGACGATTTATATAAAAGATGTAAAATATATAATATAATGATATTGATATCGTTATCGACATTGACATTTATATTTGTTGACATATCGCACTTTAATGTCTCCATATTGATATATCGCACTTTAATGTCAGAAATTGCGGCGCACGCATGCGCGCCTCTCGACGCTTCATGTTGAAACTTCACTCGTGTCGCATGCATCGCGTTAAAGTACAGTCATTCGTATATTTGTCGCGATTTTTGTTCGCAGCGAATTGATTTCCATGTATGATAATAGGACAATCAAGTGGATAATGAATTGAATCAGGCAAGGAACAATGAAAATATACGAATGTTATTAATGTAAGTAATTTATGTGTGCGTCGACTTATCTCATGACGCTATATTTTACCTATCGCATCATTATTTCTATGCCGGGCGATTTAGTTCATATCATAAAAGATGTCGTGACATGATCGACATATTAATATTTGTATCGCATTTTATCAAGTCATCAAAATCGCAATGCACGCATGTACTATTTGATGTGCACGTATGACCCTTTCGATGCGCGCGCATGCACTTATCGGTAGTCGGTACGCGAGAACGCGCTCGTCGCGCCATGCGCCATGTTGAAATTTCATTCGTTTCGCGGTTCGCATTGTAACGCGATCGTTCCGGTATTTCTCGCGGTTTTTATTCGTCCAGAGTGATCCGCGAGTGTAATAAATAGTGTCATATCGAGCGAGGGTCATGCGACGTCGAGTATTATTATCGTGCGCGATAGCAGGCGTTGATCGAGACTTAATATTTGTATTTTCGTGCAGCGTCGTATTTTAGCCGGTTTCCGCGTCGCGTTGAAGTGCAGTCATTCGTATTCGTAATTTTTGTTCGCAGCAGACTGATTCCCGTGTATAGTAATGGGACAATCAAGCAGATGGTGGACTGAATCAGGCGAGGAACAATGAAGTACCAATGAAAATGTACGTGTGTTATTAATGTAAGTAATTTATTTGCATCTGTGTGCGCCGACTTTTCTCATGACGCTATTTTGTCCATCGCATCATTATTTCTATGCCGGGCGATTTAGATCATATCATGAAAGATGCCGTAACATGATCGACACGCGTATTGATATTCGTATCGCAGTTTATCCAACCATCAATATCGCAATGCACGCGTATACTTTTCGTATGCATCTTCCTATGCGCGCGCATGCGCTTGCGGTGCGCGGAAATGCGCTCGCCGGACCTTGCGCCATGTTGAAATTTCATTCGTTTCGCGGGTCGCATTGTAACGTAATCGTTCCGATATTTCTCGCGATTTTTATTCGTCCAGAGGGATCCGCGAGTGTAATAAATAGTGCCATATTGAGCGAGGGACAAACGACGTCGAGTATTATTATCGTGCGCGATAGCAGGTATTGATCGAGACTTAATATTTGTATTTTCGTGTAGCGTCGTATTTTAGCCTGTTTGCGTGAAAATGAAAGTGCAGCCGTTCTTATTCGTTGCGATTTTTGTTTGCAGTAAACTGATTCCTGTGTGTATTAATGGGACAGCCAAGCAGATGATGGACTGAATCAGGCGAGAAACAATAAAGTACCAATGAAAATGTACATGTGTTATTAATGTAAGTAATTTATCTGCATCTTTTTCTCTCTCTCTCTCTCTCTCTTTCTTTGTATGTGTGAATGTGTGTGTGTGTGTAATGTATGTGTGACTTTTTTCATGACGCTACTTTATGCATTCGAAATTGTTCTGTACTTTCCACGATTCTATAAATATTGTGAATTGACATTGATAATATTATTTTAATCAAGGAATGATCGTTTCTCATTTCGTATTATTAATATATATGTATAATATTATATATAATATTATATAATCAAATTTTAATAAGATAATGAGCAGATAACTTGGACTATTCATAAATTTTGCTTCAATATCATTTTCAAATATGCGCCATGTTGAAATTTCATTCGTTTCGCGGTTCGCATTGTAACGCGATCGTTCCGGTATTTCTCGCGGTTTTTATTCGTCCAGAGTGATCCGCGAGTGTAATAAATAGTGTCATATCGAGCGAGGGTCATGCGACGTCGAGTATTATTATCGTGCGCGATAGCAGGCGTTGATCGAGACTTAATATTTGTATTTTCGTGCAGCGTCGTATTTTAGCCGGTTTCCGCGTCGCGTTGAAGTGCAGTCATTGGTATTCGTAATTTTTGTTCGCAGCAGACTGATTCCCGTGTATAGTAATGGGACAATCAAGCAGATGGTGGACTGAATCAGGCGAGGAACAATGAAGTACCAATGAAAATGTACGTGTGTTATTAATGTAAGTAATTTATTTGCATCTGTGTGCGTCGACTTTTCTCATGACGCTATTTTGTCCATCGTATCATTATTTCTATGCCGGGCGATTTAGATCATATCATGAAAGATGCCGTAACATGATCGACACGCGTATTGATATTCGTATCGCAGTTTATCCAACCATCAATATCGCAATGCACGCGTATACTTTTCGTATGCATCTTCCTATGCGCGCGCATGCGCTTGCGGTGCGCGGAAATGCGCTCGCCGGACCTTGCGCCATGTTGAAATTTCATTCGTTTCGCGGGTCGCATTGTAACGTAATCGTTCCGATATTTCTCGCGATTTTTATTCGTCCAGAGGGATCCGCGAGTGTAATAAATAGTGCCATATTGAGCGAGGGACAAACGACGTCGAGTATTATTATCGTGCGCGATAGCAGGTATTGATCGAGACTTAATATTTGTATTTTCGTGTAGCGTCGTATTTTAGCCTGTTTGCGTGAAAATGAAAGTGCAGCCGTTCTTATTCGTTGCGATTTTTGTTTGCAGTAAACTGATTCCTGTGTGTATTAATGGGACAGCCAAGCAGATGATGGACTGAATCAGGCGAGAAACAATGAAGTACCAATGAAAATGTACATGTGTTCTTAATGTAAGTAATTTATCTGCATCTTTTTCTCTCTCTCTCTCTCTTTCTTTGTATGTGTGAATGTGTGTGTGTGTATAATGTATGTGTGACTTTTTTCATGACGCTACTTTATGCATTCGAAATTGTTCTGTACTTTCCACGATTCTATAAATATTGTGAATTGACATTGATAATATTATTTTAATCAAGGAATGATCGTTTCTCATTTCGTATTATTAATATATATGTATAATATTATATATAATATTATATAATCAAATTTTAATAAGATAATGAGCAGATAACTTGGACTATTCATAAATTTTGCTTCAATATCATTTTCAAATATTTTAACGTTTTGCGTGATTTTTGAGATACTTGCAATGATGTGGTAAAAATATTTCAAATAAGATCTTGCCTGTTTTGAACGAGAAACAAATTTTATTACTGCAATTGATTGCATAAAAAAAAAAAAGATAAAATTCTACACGATTCTAACTTATCTCTGTTTGTCAAATTTTTGTCTTAGATTGTTATAATGTATATTTGATACAAGAACTTTGCTCTAACAGGCTATGTTATTTTTTCACTTTTTTGTAGGGCAAATCATTGTTACAATTTGAGTGGAATAATGGTCCAAACTATAAAAAAAGTAAAAAAAATAATTTACTATTCGAATAAAAAAATAAAGAACCACGAAATCTCAATTTACAATGGATATCGAGTTGCAAACGCAGCTGTGGCATGTTTTTTTTTTTATGTTTTATGTTTTTTTCTGCCACAATGCACTTCAGTGGTAACTATGTATGGTGAGCAGGCCGACCGAATCAGCGGTCGAGCCCTCGTGAAAGGTACTCCCTCGTTTGGAGAGATGAGAGAAAAGAGGATAATTAAATGTCTATCGGAAATTCGGTACGGTCAACGGTCTAACTATCGAAAGGTGATTGAACTATTCGGTTTGTTCGCTTTCTCTTTC